AATTAACTTCAGAATACATGTCATATAATCCTAGTGTTTGTCAGTTTACACAATCTAATGGTAAGATTAATAAAGCTCAGTCTCTGTCGTGTTCATCAGATGGAAGTAAATCAATTCCACCTTATCAAGCTGGTCAACCTATTGAACAGGTTAGTTTATAATTTGATGTTGATAAATGCATTGTTTCTAAATATAAGTGAATGTGTTGTATGTTTTGCTTCGTTCTAGTAAATGATTGCTCAGGAATAGTTATCCGTGAAGCATCACAGATCGATCAGAAGGATATAAAGCCTTCAAGTCCCGAATTTCCTGTATTCGAATATTCAATAGGTTATAAGCGCGCGCTGCTGGAAAGTCCTGTACACGGACTAAACGGTTATTCAATAATTCCTCATTTGCAATTGTTTTCTAAACAAGCAGGCTTCTGGAGCAAAGCTAAAACTTTCTATCGGTTTTTCAACGGTTCAAGCATAAATATTGAGTTCTGCTGGTCAATGTGCCTGTTCTAAGTACCTTAAATTACTGTTAACTAAGATTACTCATGTTATATTTATTAGCAATAATATATATCAGCCACCCATGAAAGAAAACATGAATTTTTAAATCCAACGTATGTTGTGGTTCGTCGGATTTATTTGTATATTTATACAAATTGAGATTTATATCCTAATAAGATGTATTCAACGAACAACATATGTGATATGGGCTTCATAACTTTAGCCAGTAAATCACGATTTTCTTTTCTATTTATCGCATAATTATCTCAAATGAAGGCAGAATATTGATTTTATGACTTCGTCAGCTTCAATAATTCTCTACCGGCTTTCTTTCAGTGGCAAAAACTTTTTATTTGTGTATTATTTATTTCGTAATTTCACTTTCAAATCCATTTGATATTTGAGGTAATTATGTGGCTAACCACATAGATGTGTTATTTTCAAATATAAATCACACTACTTCTACTGTCAAAAGTAGTCATTTGGATCCTGTGTAATTTTATCTGAAATATTTACCGCTAAAATTTCATGGATTAAAAATTGGAAAATATGAATGTTATTTCGAGAAATACTTCAAGCTAATTTCCAGAAACTCACACGTGATTTTAGAACTCCAGTTTGTGATAACTTTAAAGTAAATGACACCAGTCATCCTCAACATGTACAAGGGCAGGAATTGGCAAAGCAAGGATGGCATTCCCACAGTTGAAAACATATGGAAATCAGAACAACCAATATCGAAGTTAGAATCTTCAACACGAACGTCAAGACAGTTCTAATGTACAGAGCTGAAACTCGGACAACTACCACAACCGTCATCAAAATTACAAGTATTTATGAACAACTGTCTACGCAAGATACTCAATGTCCGCTGGCCACATATCATCAGCAACAGTCTACTGTGGGAGAGAAAATGCCAGCTTCCAGCTGGAGAAGAAATTAAGGGAAGATGATAGGCGTGAACAGGACATATATTACAGGAATAATCAAGGACTGTCCAGGGCAGAGTTGGGTGGGGAATTCTGGTGGACTGTCTATCTTCCTCCATGAGGGGTAACAGACGTAAGTAAATGGTAAAGAAAAGGACTTCTATCCAGAAAATTCACATTACTTTTCTGGTAATCATTCATTAATATACTTTAAAAAATCTTTTTATATTATCAGCCTAATCAGTATTGTATTCACTATGTCAGACATTCATCAATCTTTCTTGTCCTGTGAATGGGTTTATTACTTGTTTACTTTAATAAAATCAACAGGAAATTAGTTTATCTCGTCCTAAAACAGTTTTCATTTGTTCATTGTCACTTTGTAGACAAACTATAAAGGAATAGAATACTTTGATTGCTCATAATTCGTATAATTTACTCTTGTTACATGAACTTAACTAAAGTTCTTTTATCTATAATTTAGGCATATAATTTCTTCACAGGTATCTAAATGCTGAAACCATTACTGTTATTTCCTCTATCTCTACTGTAGTAATGTGTTAGTTAGTTAAAGCCTAGGTTGAAATTGGTGAGTGAATTATGCTTATGTACCTATATTAATAAAGCAATGAAGCATAAACATTGATTCCATAGATGTCTTTTATTCGGTTGCTTAGGATTCTTCATAGAACATTAATAAGGAAAAAACAGGATTTTGTCTGAGCACCTCAGGAATATATCCTTTTGTTGATTGTTTAGAACATATAAAAAAACAGAACTCTAAGATGTCACCAAACAGTTGCAATAAATTTGTATACTACTGAAATTTGTTGACGAATAATAACCTGGTCACGGAGTATTGAATTAAAAATTAAACGATTTGGGATGTAATAGATAAACATAACAAAAAATGAATTAACCTTACAAGGGACCCAAGAGCAGTTGGATTTGTACTAGCAAGACTGATTTGATGTTATTTCATTTACAGCTCTGAATGGTTAATTGTTAACATCGCTCACATAATTAACGAAGGAATTTTAAATCTGTGCAACGTAAACTGGTACTCAGTGACTAGTGAATTTCGTCAGTAAATGTCATGTTAATTTCATAACGCATCACATTTTACTTATGAGTTAAATATTGATATTTATAGCTTCAGGAGCAACTTCGATGGGTTCAAAGACAACTGGAGGAATCTTCCAACGTTAAAAATATGGTCGGGTCTCCAACAACAAATAACTTGAGATTGGCAAAATTACGCAGTGAATTCTGTATTCTACTTAGACAGTTGAAACAACGATGCAGTCAAGGTGAACTAGGGATCGATCCTTCTCTAAGTGATTTGAACAATGAATTTCAAGATATGTCTTGTGAGTCCAAATTAAACTGTGCTTCAATATCAAGATCAGGAAACTCATCACCACAAAAATCCGCACAGACCACATCAGGCTATCCTTGCCTTAGCGGTCAGTTCAATGTAAATCCATTTAAACTGGAACAAAATCCCACAGTTAAACGTTCAATGACTACTGGAGACTTTGATGAAGTAAGCTAGATGGTATAAATCAAATGAAAGTTTATTTGCAGACGATTTAAATGAATATTTTCGCTAGGATTTCTGAGAAATTACTTTGTATGTAATACAGCTTTATACTTTGGATATATAGGTTGAAAACTAGAATGGCCGTAATCCCAGTAACCGATATCTTGTGGGTATGATAGGTACTATCGTTACTAGGAAGCATATAACTAACTAAATCCATTAATACCCATAAGCAATACAGAAAGTACAAGATATAACCTGGTGTGTATCGCCTATCTTTGGATGCGAACCTGTAGAGGCTAATTTATTTAAAAGCAAATCAATACTATGGTACTGAATGAAATCCTATACAAATAAAATGTAGTTTGTACTAACTTGTGGCTATGTGCGTCAATGAACTAATTAAAACATTCCCTTTATCTTCAAGTTTGACAACGCCTGTGAATAAGATTGCTAAATGGAACTTTCTATGGTAGTCTGGCTATACCAAGAGTTTATGAGTAACCTTACATCGCACTTAATTCGACCCTAAATATCAGGAAGCGGATGAACAACGTATAAACACTTCGCGAACTTAAGGTTCAAAATACCAAACAAGATTACTAAAATAGGTACTGAGTTTGTGATGAATAGTTCTTTATTCCTTGAGACACCTGCCTTTTTTTCTTAATGGTGTATTAGTATCGCGATTCGCTTATAAAACAATTCTGAACAGTTTTAGGGATACTAGGACTAATCACCAGCTAATATAATCTTTATCATTATTTAACTTTTTAACAGGACCCAGATTTTTACATCACAGGACAGCCAGAAGTTGATGATTTTGAGGACATCGACTCCAGTGAGTCAGAATTTGCCTTGAGGGATGCCTCGAATGTGATATCTGACAACTTATTTACAGCGACCCATAATTCAAATGTAAACGAATCTATGAAGGATTACAATAATATAAACGATCCATACAAACAGAATACAGTTAACGGTAATGGTGAATTGCATAAAAAGCGCAAACGCAATCGAAAGAACACATTCATCTCTGGGCGACGTCGTCCCTCAAAAATAGCAGCGGAAGTGATTAGCGTAAACTTCATGCCTAGTCGTCGTGGTTCGCTAATGGCACACTCTGCCGTTCAAGGACACAATAAAAGCAAAAGCTTACTAACTCAGTTCATGAACACTGTAACCAAGGGTTCAACTTCCAAATTGCCAAGAGAATGATGTTCAGTAGTCGACAGGTTAGTATAAACTCACAGGATTTCGTAATAAAATGTCATTTCAAAATAAAACACTAGCACTTCCGGAAGCATTGGTAGTAGCAAACCACACGTTCTTCAAACAGATAATCCTGTGTCAAGATGCTTCAAGCGTAGTTGCAACGCAGATTATTTGGCCCTAAACTTGCTATATTGATTTCAATAGATGTAACGTACCAGTACAGTACAAGCTAATACTAACGAGCTCGGGTATGAGTTATATAGGTGCAAGGTAGTCACCCGTTGCTTAAACCGGACCAACACTTCAAAGTCGTGTTCAAACTAATGGCTAAAGATACACAACACAATAATTCATTACACCACTCCATTTCAAAACACAGGATAACCCTAATTTTCATCCAGACTAGATAGATCGATCATTTTGTTCTAAGATAACTGGTGTTTTAGCTTAAGGAATTGGATGTACAATTTTGAAAGACTGCTATAACTTCACAGCCTAAAAGTCCTGTTTATCATAATAATCATTTAAATTTCACTGAGTTCATCAAATACTTAAAATGTCTTTTAACAATTATTTTATTATTACTGCTTGATTTTTTTCAGATATACACACTTCATAAGTCTTTATCGATTAAAGCGCCATACTACAGAACAGAGAGGATACTTGGTAAATACGCAAATTTCTACACAGTACCCACTGTATATAATGTTGTTCAGAAACAGATTTTATGAATGTATAGTACTGCAATTTGAACGGATAAAACATACCCTTCCAACTAAAAACCCGAGCTTAATTAGCATTCATTTAAGAAATAAATCATTTATACAAAACTTTTATTGTTGAAATAAAATTGTGGGGATAGTACTCGATGATTAGACATATACATAATATGAAAGGTTTTAGTAACGCATCGGAGGACCACGACCACGTCCTCGAGGTCCACCGCGTCCACGGCCACGAACAAGACCGCGACCTCGTCCACGAATAGTAGGACGTTCTGAAAAGATACATATAGTATAAACTATAAGTGGGAAGAAGTTGTACATAAAGTTTATATACGTAGGAGTTTAGGTTCATTTAGACACTTGAGATACATACGTTGATGGTTTCAAATACTACCTAACTTTCAAAATGAAGTGAGTGCTGTGATTTTTAAACTATCTTATGAATTGAAGAAAAGTTTAGCAAGTATTATTTATCGGCAAGATGCGGTCAAGGTCATAAAACACAAGTGCTTCTCTCAGATCACGAATGACAGAAAAATTTGAGCGTTATGTCCTCTGAAGATGTTTTAGTTTTCAAGCTTTCACTGTGTTTACAGACAATATTATCAGGACATGACACACAAATGTGAGCTATTAGAGTTTCTTTACAAGTGGATGACGGCTTGTTCCATCGATATAGAATGTGATTGGTTGTTGCTGTCGCTGTTTACATGGTTTTTTTTCACAAGAGAATTATTCAAGTCAAAGAAAAAAGTATTGCTAAAGTAATTCTGAACTACGAGTTTTTTTCCATCCCCTAGAAGTTATCCAAAAGTTATTTTTCCGATCTATTCTACATTTCGAGTTGTCGCTCTCCATAAAACCACTGAAAACCCACTGTTTGCAAGTAACCAATAAATTAATAAAGTTTAAAATATAACTAAACCAGTTACTGAATTACCTTCCCGTCCAGGTTTTCTTTTTGGAGGGCCTTCATCAATTAAAAGTGTATCAAGTGGAAGACTTTCTGGGAGAATGAAATATCGGATATTGTTTCCGCGAACAGTTAGTGTGTCCAAGTTAATCGCATCCCGATTTTTAAGTGTCAAAGTAACGGACCTCATATGTGTATTCATTGACACATCAACACCAGCAATACTTCCGTGAACCTGCGTACCGTTTTTTAGTTCAATGGTTACCGTCTCATGGGACAATTTCATAAGAAACCTTAAATTATTTGAAAATAAAATAATGCACATTACGCCTGTATCATTACTAGGAAAACAGTGCTGAATTCGGAAAGAAAGCTATGAAATAAGTAATTACATCAACTACAAAAAATATTTGGGAGTCTTGTGTAGGAGTCAATGTCTAGATTAGTAACTATCAATAGCTACCTATAGTTGCGAACCATCATCACATGTTTACTCTTAGAATTGTCTAAACTGTTTGTTGAGGAATGAAATAAATTTCTACAATCGACCATCATGGAATGTGCTATATGAAACAAGATGACGGTTTTGAGGAATGAGATGGAAACCGTATAATAACAAGCATACCAAAAGTCAGATCTCAATATTAAGAACTCACTTGCTTCAATTCGCTTGGTGAATACACGTTTATAGCGCTATCAATGAAATTATCGCCCTATTTTTATCATAACGGCAGTTACTACAAAAGTATAGCTCATATACATCTATCATGAGGATTAGCGTTTAATTAACAATGAGGTGGAGAATAATTTACACATAGAAAGTGACAACTTTGACAAATGCATGATCAGGAGGTTCTATATTGTCTTGATTGTCATGGGAACATCAACTTATCAAGTGGATATGCCGAGACTACAGCAAACAGAGTACAGTAGATTAACTAATTTACAGCCTAGTTGAACTCCAGATCAGCAGTGTTAGCGTGACAATTAGCTAAGATGAATTTCTTGATTATTTCGGTTGCGATTCGGAGACAGAATACAAGAGATCTTTATACTACGGCACCATACTTTGTTTCCTTAGAATTATAGGGGGACATTACAAGTCAAATAAGATATTTATAAACAACATTGAAAACGTCACGTGAGACTGAATATATTTAATGAACATCGAAACAAGAAGACACATTTACGCTTTTATGTGAACATCCTCATTATTGAAACCTTTGTCAACAATAAACATGGTTGACAGCACATTTAGTGACAAATAGAACAGCCGACATTTTCAGTGTATCATATAGGAAGCCGCTTTTAAATCTTAAAAATGATAGCACTGGGTAAATTTAGTAAATGTCTGCTTTTTCAAATCAAATGGCATGTTAATCAATAAATTCACAACAATACGTTGCCTTTTTTTGTATTCGAATGCACTAGTCAAATGTCAGGTCATGAATAATTGAATAGCATGTGCAACTAGGTATAACGATCTTGTGAACCTAAGAATTATACAGCTGCAAGAAAACCAAGACCATAATGCACACAAGCCCTAGTTCATGTGTATTTTGTTATCTTGATTTATCCTTGTATTTAAGTTGTCTTTATCCGTCAACGTTGGGCTTTGCTATTGGCCAACTTCTATGTTGGTTTATTTATTAGATCTACGTTGATGTGCCTATTGCTCGCTAATTGGCATGAAGGCCATGCTTCTAGGAATTCTCTGGGATCCCTAGAGTTTCCCGGCTCAGAATTCTAAAGTTTGTTCAATTGAATTTATGTCCAAAGTTGCTTAAATGCATTAATATCAGTGTTGTCCAAAACGAGAATGAAAGCTCTGCAACTAAAACATCCTACTCATAGAGCATGACCCCAAAAAAACTACCGGTGTTATTAGAGTTCACAGTCATAAATACTGAGACATTTAGTGGCAAAAGCACTTAGAAAACTAAATGGGAACTAATTCATCCAAAATTACACAAGTCTATTAGCTAGGAATTAGACCACCGTTGGACACCTGGAAGCCCGATGGTCGTTTCGTCCTATTGTGAGACTCCTCAGCAGTGCGCATCCACGACCCCGCTCGCAGGATTCGAACCCAGGGCCTTCGGTCTCGCACGCGAACGCTTAACCTACTGGACTACTGAGCTGGCATCCAATGGTGTTAGTGTCTAACATCAACCAATCCACGAAATTGCGCGACCATCTTCCATTGTACTGAGGTAAATACCTGTCTCTACCCGGCACGGATTGGCTCATTTCAACTTGATTGTATCCTCCCATTGATGTTCTGGATTGCAATTGATCAGTTTCCTAGTGGCACATATGCATCCTGTGCGGATTGCTTCGATATTGCTTTAAGTCACAAGCATTATAAGCAAAGAGGAATGGAGGCGAACAGTGAAATCCACCACTAGCCACTATCCGTCTTTGATTATAGGAACCAGCTACTGTTAATAGTACCTAAAGGCTACCCTATCATTGTTTCAGTTTAATTGGTTTTATCGAAAACAGTCACACTCCACAAAACTTAATTTGTTTTCAGGTGGTAGTCAAATGTACTTAACAAAATTTGTACAGGTTGGCATTTTGATAAAGAGGGTGGTAGAGGGAAATATGAGACGAACAGTCTACATCAGATGGTTAAGCTATGATGTTGTACATCGCTAGACCTGTCAAGTTGTGGGAACAATATTACAGAAAAGATCTGAACCAAGTCAAGTCAAAGCAAAGTTATTAGCCTTTGTACTAAAAAGCAACCCATAATGTAGCTGAACATAATTTCGGCATGAGTTTTAACTTTGTTATCAAATAAATCCAACAAAGAATATCTATAATGTTGTGTGTTGCTCATCTGTTGATAATTTCCGCAAAATTAACCTTGCAGAGTCAGTCAGTTACAATGTAGAACCTATACGTATGTACATAGGTTCAAGTTGTCATACCCCATTAGCAAAGACAGATGAAGTTGCCAGACCAAGTCATAGAATAGTAGGGGTAGTAACAGTATCAATAGAAAAGATTAGGGATCGGAGATACGAATCGAAAAGAAAATATAAATGGCCGAAATAGAGACGAAAGAAAGTTATGAAGAATTTAGAATCTTAGGATTCGGGGAGGACAAAGAACGGATGCACCTACGCCATTGCAAACGATTTTACAGCATGTCATTCAACGTCTCTAACCATTGGTTACGATGATCACGCGGATTTCAACCAGATAGCCTGTACCTATTAACATGGCTATGTCCAACTGTTAGTGACTTCATGAACTGATGCCAAGTCTTAGTTTGATCATCCCTACCTTTCTTTCAGCCTACCTATGTTTATTTATTTATTTTATTTATTTCAACACATAAATATTGGTACAAGAGGGCACCAAATATATATGCGCCACACCATATTTGTGTGTGTGTGGGCTGTGGTACTGCCCGGGTGCCCAGACCGAGGCAGGTGGTTTTCTTAGGGGGCCACACCCCGGGCCTTTGACCTAAAGGTCTGATCCATAGGGCAGTGGAGCACCGTGAGGAGATGCATTCTCATGGTAGCCGGTGACCAACGATTAGTTCATACGCCATTTGTTCCCGCAGGATACTGGAGCCCATGTGCACCATTGGTTTGAGATCCGGTTAAAGCGCCGGACATTCGCTTTTCATCCTCTCGATTTCGTAAACAACACCCCCGCCATGAGAAGGCAGTGAGTAGGACTTCCCTGGCAGGGGCTGTATACGCGTGGCCGTGTGAGAGCATTTCGAGAGGGAGGGCGGGCCCACCCCACTCTCGGCCATACCAGGGCATCTGGGGACAGCCTACCTATGCGCCAGAAAACATTGCCAGTCAAGGTACACGGTCAGTGGGAATACGAAACATATGCCCCAACCAACTCGGTTGAAAATTTACTACCTCATTAATCTATTTGCCATCCCTAGCTAGTAAACTATTCGTAACCCAGCCATTGCTAATTCGGCGGTCCCAAAACACATGAACAGCCCTTCATAGACACCCATGATCGAATACTAGTAATCTACGAACATAAATTATTCTTAATGATTGTTTCACAATCATAAAGCAGAACGAAGCGAACTGCTGCACAGGGAACTTGTCCTTTTTTGACAGACGGACATCTCGCTTACGCCACAAGTGAGGCAGGTTGGAGAAAGGTAAACAAGCCTTTTGAATCTATGAACAGATTTCATCAGACAAAGGCCAACAGGGCCGATGTTCGTTGTTGTTTGAACACATAAATATTGGTTCAAAGGGGCGTCGAATATATATATGCCACTTGATTTGTGTATGGGGTGTGATAATGCCCTGGTGCTCAGACCTAAGCAGATGGTTTTCTTCGGAGGCCATGCCCGGAGCCTTCGACCTAAAGGTCTGATCCACAAAGCAGTGGAGCAACGTCAAGAGATGCAATACCATGATAGCTGGTGACCAAAAATCGGTTCACACGCCATTTGGACCCTCTGTGTCCACCAACTCGGTTAAAGCGCCGGACTTTCGCTCTTCGTCCTCTCAATTTCGTAAACAACCCCCTCCGCCATGAGAAGGTAGTGAGTAGGACATCCATGGCAGTGGCTGTGTACGCGTTGCCATTTGAGAGCATTTCGAGAGTGAGAGCTGACTCTCGCTACCCTAGGTCGTACCAGGGCATTTGAGGGTTAGCAGGTGGTTTTCTTATGGAGCCGGCGAGACTCCAAAGATAGGTGATGCAGTTGACGCGCTCAACTACTCCACTCCGTATCGTTGATTCAGGCAATGACATAAGCTAATCATGAAGCAACACTTTGCATTTGGAGGGCGAGAACCACATCCCAAATATGCTTGCATTGTTGCTCAAGGTGGTCAGACGACTCTGCATTTTATCAGCGTCTTCACCATAAAGAACTGTCATCTGCGTATTGCGAGTCAAAAAGTGAATCTCCTGGTCGATCAACCCCTGGAAAGTGAGACGATGAGTGCTATCTCTATAAGCATATCTATGATGAAATTAAATAAAAATGGGTAGTGTGGACAACCTTGACGAACACCACTTAATGTACTTCTTTGGTACACCTTTCAATGACAGATACTGACAGATGACCCCTCGATTAACAAAGTCAAACGCTGCTTTAAAGTCGAGGAATAAGAACTACAATAGGACGCCGAAAAGTATACCCATATTCCAGAATCTGCCGAAGGTTTGAAACCAGTTTGTTTGTCTCGGGTTCGCTATTCGCGAAATCTAGTTAGATGTCAAAGTATTACTGAGGCTAATATTTTAGATACGATATTAGCTAAACTGATTCCTTTGTGACTGTCACAAGAAAAGATTTATCCTCTCTTTTAAACTGGAACAATCAGCGATCGAGATCAGTCAGATGGGATTACGTTTAGTTCCCAGATTCTAACTAGCATTTCAGTTAATCCAACAACTAAAACTGGACCACCGTTTTTGACAATCTCATGGGTTAGTTCGTCAACCTCTGCTGCTCTCTCACGCTTTAGATTAATTATAACCTATTAAACCTGTTATATCCCTATACGAATAATGAATGGTAACTTTTATGATCCATTTATGGACCTTTACTATGCATATACTTTTATCGTATAATTGTTAAATAACTAAACTATTCATATTCATGTCCCTCATTATGAGCTTTATTTTGATCTATGAGCTATTACTATACAATTTACCATTCTTGAGTTATGCCCTGTCCATCAATTACTATCTCGCACATTCACAGCCACATTTGGCTATATCTTGCACAAATATTGTTTCCTATTTTATGGTACGATGTGGTCTGTCTGGTTGGTATATAAAACCAGTATGTTTGAAATAAATGATTCATATCGCAGAGGCTGAGATTGGTGTTCTGGACTTAACTGGCTGGGCTAGGAGGGAAGCAGGACCGATAAGGACTCCAGACTGCTCATACTCGTTTTATGCGTCATTGGTCTGATCAATAATTCACTGTTCTCTAATTAGTGGTATCATCACGTTATACATTAACAGGGTACACAGGCCACAAGCTATAACAAAACCTCACCAAGAGTTGGGCTTAAATCAATTTTCTTGAAGATAATGGATAAATGGAGTATGGCTGAAGGCCAGTTGAACTGTTCCCTGAAGCGTTTTACCTATTAGTTTAATCTCCTGGATTAAAAGTGAATAATAATCCCGTCTTTTTTCGAGTTTCATTAACGGAAGGGGCTTTAATACCCGTTTCCTTGATAAGTCTGAACAGTTGTCTACTGTTACCTATTGCTGCCCACTTTTCCATCTCTTTTGCTCCCGCTACCCACCACTGCTTACCATCACTACGTAAGGTTATTATTAATCTGCGTCTAAGTTGCCTTGATTCCTCATGGTGTCCTGAGTCAGACGGGATGAGTTCGCGAGATCCTAACAGTTTTGTAGACACCGCTGAAATTCACTAATTTTTTCTTCTTTTAGTTTAAGTTACCAGTAGATATCGCTGTCTCCACATCCTATCGGATATCATATCAAACTCCCTCGGGGTGGATATCATTTTCACAGTTGATTCGCAGCTTTACTAGTTGCTGTGATTTTTCTACGTCCAGTAAGACGCAGACAAATACGTGCTCGAACTAGAGCATAATCTGAGTCTAAACATGTGCTTCAGAATGAGTGACAGCCACCAATCGAGCCCCTTCAACGATGGCAAATAGCAATATGATCTATTGAATCCACTAATGAGTCAACTGTGGAGGTCGCCGCTTCAGACGTTTCTCTTCACGCTTAAAGTTGATGTTTGCCAGAAACAGACGGTTATTTGAGCGTTGTTGCAACAGATGTTCACTATCATGTCAACTGAGCCGCAACACCGTAAAATCCACCTAAGTACCTTTTAGTTTCGTTTGGTTTACCTACTTAAGCATTATAATCACCTGTCTCCAGATACTCGAAGGGTAAATTGTTCCGGCTTTGGCAAGGTGAAGCTAAGTGAATGACCGTTATTGAATGTATGAGCGTTTCGGAGATGCAGCATACATAGACGGAGTGGGATTCTAGAGTCTTAGCTGACACAAGGTTTAGACATTAAAAGCTCCAATACGTATTTCAGAGCGTGGTTCCAGGAGACCAAGAATAACACTTTGTGAACACATATCACTAGCATTGGTGGAGTGATGATTAAAATAAACGAGAAGGGTTAGTCGTGGGAGTGGAAGTACTACTAAAATGTGAGGGACGGATGATGATCCAGGGTGTTGATACAGGTATGAGGGCGACAGTCACTTCCTGGCATCCCACACCGTGGAAGGATATTTCTTCCTGAGGGACCTAAATTAATGCTGGTTTAGCGTCCTGAAAACGTGACTGTAGAGCGTAAGAGAACTGCTTGGGGCCGATTTAGCACAACCTAATCATATGTTTATGATGCTAGCTTTGTACTTCGAAAAGCCGTAACCTCGGAAACTGAAATCCGTTGGGTAGTGTGAGAAGTGACATTCTTAGGGTCGACCATTTTTAAGCCTGCAGAGTCAGTCAGTTACAACGTCACACCAGGCACATATATGCATCGGTCTAAGTTGTCATACCTCATTAACACAACAAGATGAACACCGGATTCATAAAAGTAGTTAATTCAATGGTAGTAATATACAGAAGAAAGATTGCATATAAAGATATAATACAGGAAGAAAGAATTAGTTCATGGAAAGAATGATATGATATGGTTTTGGTCTCATAGTTTAAGGGAAGACAAAGAGTGTATACACCCACACCAGTGTGATCGATTCTGAGCCATGTCACCAAGAGTCTCCAACCACTGGTTACGATAGTCACGCGGACCCCAATCAAGTAGTCTGCATCTACCAACATGGCTCAAACTAGAAATTATTGACTTCAAGCACTGATGCCATGTTTTGGTTTGGCCGCCCCTAACTTAATTCCAACCATCCCTAACACTAGTCAGCATTGCGCGTAGTGGTAATCGGTGTTCGGACATAAGTAACACGTGGCCCAACCATCTCAGCCGATGAGGATTCACAACCTCATCAACTGATTTACAATCATTCCCTAATACCCTGTGTCTAACCTCACTATTGCTGCACATCGTTCTGCTTTGCTGTCTTCTCTTTGCTTCGTCTGTCTGGATCGGCGATTGTACAAAATATATGTATTCGAAATCCATTCTCGTATTTGAATTATTTAATTCCGTTATTCCTTAATGTGATCTAAGTCGATAATTATATACGAGGATAGGCGACGTATATATTTTGAAAGCACTCACCCAATAGCGACCAACATATGATCAAACTGGAGTCAGATACCAGACCACCAAAGTGTTGAGCCCCTCGACAACATCGTCCGATCTAATTTACATCTAAATGACGGGCCACTTAAGACTACTTGGGCTTGTAGTTGCTCAGATTAAAGTATTAGATGAAATCAACAGAGTTTATTGTTAGGTAGTAAATGACATGCGACTTGAAGAAAATGAAGTTACATTCATTTATATGATATATGCATCTAATCACAGCCACACCTGACTTGTGGTGTTCAACCATGTGTAGTTTGATTAGGGTACTCGTTGAAAAAAGTGGATCCTGTATGCGTGTTTCAGCATACATCAATGATACGAGATTCTAGGGTCCTGGCTAAGGAAACCGGTTAACCGATTTGACATAGGGTGCGTAAGTTGATTCGTCTACAGTCAACTGCAAACTGCCAATTTTATTAACCTCTACGCAATGTCAAAAGAGTTTATGAACTAGATACTACAACATAAGCAAACTTAATTACTCGACTGTGATACGAATATCTTCCAGTCTAAAAATGTTCTATGCTCTGAGAATTGGATGGTAGTCAGAGGTATGAAACTGACTCGCCAGAAAAGCCATGTTACCTAACTAGGTCTCTAGCATGACAATTGGAGTTTGTAGAGGGATTAATCCCATGGTAGGAAAACGACCGGTACAACTTGATTTTAGGGCTGAATACTTGAGGAAATACAGCCATATCTAGTAAGGTTTTTATGCTTTATTAACCCTAAACCATCAGCATGCATTGAGATGGATTTTATACTGTCACGAGGACCTCACGTTATTATCGAACAATCGACTAAATGCAGTCCAGTTTCAAAGCGATTCACAGGAAGCAGTTTGAAGGTTTGGTGAGACTATATTTCAGACGTTGATGAGATGATTACGGACAAAACGCGTAAAAATGCGTCCAGCCACATAAGAGAAAAGCAAACGAAATTCTTACTCGAATTTAAGGATCGATTTTGTGGATGGCTTGGAGTAACAGAGCGAAGTCAAACCAGCAACAATAAGAATCTTACGTCAATGGTATATCTAATAGTGCTGACGTTTCAATCCAAACCGGAAAATTCTATTGTGAATTCAGATGGAGGTCTAATTATGAAAAACCTGTCTCCATTTATAAAAGAGGGACCAAATCACTTAATAAGTCAAGAAGTTTCCAATTAGTAGTTCTGTAGCCATTTAATTGGGAAACCACTGATGTTAGTCAGTTAGGCATATCTACTTCACTTCTGGTTATTTAAAACTATCTGACATAACCAGCTAACGTCTGCCTAAGCATCTAGATAACTAGATGCAAGACAACGACAAAACACTCCACTCACCTCACGAGCTTCATCCTTGAATGACTCACTTAAACAAGCGTCATTGGAATATTCTAACAAATAATATCCGATACTTTGATTTTGAGTTCACTAATGGTTTTCATCAACTCAAGTAGCTTTGTTAGCATAAAAAATATTATAATGATGTATAAAGAATTGTAAACTCTGAAAACTATCATTGAAATCGACATGCGTCATTAGCAGCGATACTCCTTACATCCCAATTACAGAACAAACTACATCCTCCTTAAAAGCTAAGAATGGGTTGAATCATGAGATAGGCTCTGGGAAAATCGGTTCTCCTAGTAGTTTCATTGATGACTGGGAGGGCTAGCAGCGACTGATATCATAACTGTGATTTCGGACGATTTAATTCAAAAACCACTCTCGATCAACACTTCTTGTTGCACATCAGCGGCTATACTATGATAAGCACTGATGTGTTTCCAAAAATCAGCGTAGTGAGAGACAAAAACGTACTTTTTTGTGGCATTTGGATAGACTATTTGTAAATTGTGAATAAACTTTGGTACGTAACTTAGAGTTTGGTTCTTTTGTTAATTTGGGTCCATAACTTGCTAATAGATCGATATACCGTACATCAGCAATGGAAGCGAGCAAAAACTTGAACGTAAAAGTAAGAGCTTTACTGAAGTCGGTGTTTTTTGTCCAGTTTGGGGTCGGGAGTTTTATGTCAGATATGAAGCCAGCTTCGGGTGAAAGCAGTCTAGTAGCAAACAGATTGTCGTGAATAAACTTTTAAGACTCCCCTCTATGGGTATTCCACTTTGGAAAAAGATTCGGGAGTGTTGGCTCCCTACGATCTGAAGACTTACGCTAACTGTGAAAAAAATGCCTTTCGAGCAAACGTTGCACTGGTAAGGTTGAAGCAAGTTATGATCATTTTGACAGAACATTCCACTTAATCTTCGGAAGTTCTATAAGATCTCATTTACAGTACAAAAATTAAGTGTTTCCTCCGTCACTCTAGAAGGATAAAAATAGACTGGAACGTATCCAACGCCGAGCGACGAACTCAGTTCGAGAACTCGAATTCAAACCTTATGAAGAGAGTATCAAATCTCTGAACCTTTACTCACTAGAATATAGGCGTATCAAATGCGACTTTCTAATGACCTCTGGCATCCTAAACACTCCTGATTACCCCTCCAATCACCTATTTGAGCTCAGTCGCAACACGAATCTTAAGGATATTAATTAGAGATGTGGGACCTACCATGGCAGAATCGACTCTTGAGAAACCATTTAATCCCTACGAGTAGTCAAATTCTGGAATTTGCTGCCGCCTGATATGGTCCAAAAGACTTATTAGGAGTCCTTCAAGAGAAAACCTCACATATCTCTTAGAAGTCAAGATAATATTGCACCATAACCCGTTGATCTTTTTTTATCGTTAAATATACCTAATTCCCTAGCCGAAGACATCGGTGGTCCGCTGCTACCAGATACGGTAGCTAGTAAAGCAAAATCTACCTCTATTTCATGGAGAACCATTTGAACCACTTGAAATAAACGGCAAATATGAGAAGATTCCACCAGTATCTCACAAAAGCACTAGCCAAACTGCGTGGCTCCAAGGACACCTGACAGACTACAGTTCCTGGCACGCATTTCCATCTTTTACGTGTTTTGGAATATCTATGCCTCAAATGAAAAATAGACTCTCTGTGGATGCAACCAGCCAAATAACATTTTACCATCGTTACATTAGTAAATTACTGCTGAAAATTAAAAGTGATGAACAACTTCCTTAATATATTGAACATAATTTGTTTACTAATTACCTTTAGTCTTGAGGGATAATGGAATAGTGATACACCATTTCTGTATGCTCGATTATCTAGAAAGTCAGGCGTAAGATTTCAAAGAGACACAACAACATACTTTCGTAATTCTGTACTGATCAAACATAGAGAAAATTTGGTTCTAGTTGTGTTTCTGAATATTAATTGAACAAAAGTCGCTCCCTTACTAGCAAATCAAATGTGTGACGAAAACTCATCAGCGAACACATAAATATGGTGAAAATGACACTAATGACTATAGCTATTGAATCTTTAGCTGTAATCGTCCTGTGGTTGAATGGAAATATCAGAGCTTATGAACATTTTATTCATCCAGCATTGCCGAACGTGAGGGGCGTCGTAAAAGACTGTACCCACAGTAAACGGTGTTGTCCGTATGACTTAAAACATAAGTGGAACAATGACAATCAGTTTTATAACCACCAAACAATGAACACTGAATATCAAAGTAAAATTCTTTCCGGATGTTCTGAGTGATTAGGTATTAAAAGCTATTAACATACACGATTTCGTAGCATAACTTATAACTTTGCCTTGGATGTAAAGTTGCTCTTACCAATCCCTGAGCAGCATACTCGATTGAGCTTGTGATTCTGGGTGAAACGGGTGCTATATATATCTAATTGTAGTTTCAATTTTTTAAGCCACTGCCGAATTTCCTTAACGCAGCCTGTAGATCTAGGGTTACCACCGGTCTCAAGCCCACACAGCGGGAGAGGGTTGGGCATGGTGTTAGTAACCCCACTCCGTCAGAAATAATCTTGTCAAAAAATACTAAGCAGGATGGACAATTCAAACCGTTCATACTCTGCCCTCAGAATCGAAGGGTCTTCTTTCAGGAGAATTGTGATAGCTGAAGGCGCTCGGTCATGCATCCGCACCAGATCACGTGTGGGAACGCCGTGCTCAACATCTACTGCAATCGCTACTCAGACTAGATCAGACAATTCCGACATATTGGCTATCGTCAAATACAACTTCTGGTCTCCTCGATTCTGTCTTTTGATTTCTCTTGGTGGGTACGAGTTATATTATAAGGTGTTACTGGTAAAAGCGTTGTCAAACACTGAATACCTGTGCCATCTTCAACATTCTATTCAGAAAGATTTGGGAGGAAGGACAAGTCCCGATAAACTAGAAAGAAGGACCATTCATCAAGGTAGCAAAGACAGGAGATCAGAGCAAGTATGAGAACTATAGAGGAATCACACTACTGTCAGTGCCAGGAAACGTTTTCAATAAAGTCATGCTGAACTGGATGACAGACTCAGTAGATGCCCAACTTCGAGGTCAACAGACCGGATTCCGTGAGGATTGGTCGAGCAAAGACCAAATCGCAACACTACGGATCATTGTTGAACAATCAACTAAATGGAACTCGTCACTACACATCAATTTGCTTGACTATTAGACTGTGTTTGACAATGTGGATAGGAAAACCTTATGGAACCTTCTTCGACACCACGTAGTGTGTAGCTGAGAAAATCGTCAACATCATACAGAATTCATGCGGTGGACTACACTGCAAAGTCGTGCCTGGGGGACTGCTGACAGACACATTCCAACTAAGGGCTTGAGTCAGACAATGCCTCTTACTCTCCTCCTTTCTGCTTCTTCTGTGTAGCGTCTAGTGTAGCAGTGGCCTTTGCACTGGTAGGTTCCAACACACACAAGGAAAGAACCAAGAATCCTCAAATACAATACGGCGAAAGCATGTTAAACGAGTTTCTCATAGGGGGCGGGGTCGTGAATGCGCACTGCTGAGGAGTCCCATACTAATACAAAATGGCCGTTCAGTGCTTGCAGGCTTTCCATAGTGGTCTAGCCTCAAATGACTCATGACTTCAACTATGGAAGGCTTCTCCTACTTTTTTTTTTCGTAATCATTCGAACTACCCGAAGAGCCAAGGTCACGTTGCCATTGGTTTAAGGTCATTAAAAATTTTCGAATGCCAGTCACAATATACCTTAGAGTAAAGCCATCTTCCCATCTTAACCTCAAAGAAATCCTGTATTTAGAGGATGATCAGGTAATCAGGAAGATCCATACCGGTATTTCTGTCTAAAAACAAATGTTCGGTAGGTGGATTACCCACGTGTGCAGATACACATCCACTCAATCTCCTAGTTCTATTGTTAATTCCGAATAATGTAGACAATAATAGGAGATATCCACTATTTTTTGCACAGATATATTTATAATTAATACGGACTGTAGTTTTGTGAACCCGGCCTCTGATTTGTAACTAGGCTGAGCGAAATGCTGTTCAAAGTCGTATAAAATAGAGTTTTACGGATTAAATAAAGTGAAAAATAGGTTGAAATCGTAACGTTATTCCTATTTTATTAAGGGGCTATCTTGCTGGTCAGTGTAAAAGGAGTATAAAGTTTGGAAATTTTTCACACTAGTCACGTTTTAGTTTGATCTAGTTGAACTTTATTCACAGAGAAATCACTGTACTTACTAAGACCAGCAACGATTTGTTAACTTATCCTGATTACGAGCAGATTGATAATTTAATGACAATCTTGAAATATTTCATCCATCAGGAACAACTAAATAAGGATTGTAGATCTATGTAATGTAAGGAAGTCGAATGAATATTTCTTCGCTTACCTTTTATCTAACGTTAAATTAATGGAATTATAGTTCATTTCCCAGTTTACGACCCTCATTTTATTTACTCTGTTATTACGCAGGTACTTCCACTGTAATGAAACTTTGTTTTTTATGTGTACATATAGTAGCTAGTACTATAATAGATATATATTCTTCATGCATTTGTAAAGCTATAGCTCCTCAAAGTTTTTTAGTTAACAAATTTCATTGATTAACACTCAAAAGTGCATGTTATGGTTCATTGCAAAAAACACTTTTACTGCAGTTATTATCAAGAATAATAAGACTTCACATATTAGTTGCCACAACCAGAAGCACTATTGATATCTAGTCTCCCAATAGATTGCTATGGGGCAAAAGACTTCACTAGTTTGCGGTTAAAAGTTGGTTTCCAGAGGTAATTAAAGAAGGCCAAGGGGCAAGTCATTTTGGGCATGATATCTGTATACTTAATTAGTGACGTTTTAATTGATTAATTATCATATATTACTGAATTATGTTGAAAAAAATAGGGTAATAGTGTAAGTTTTGGTGATATTTAACGATATAGTAGTGAAACGGAACTAAAATAACCCG